CATGAAATTGGCTCTTTGCTGTGTGCTGATGAAGGTACGATCTGTGTGTGTGTGTGTGAGCGCGCACACACGTGTGTGTGTGTCTATGCACGATTAGATCTTCTAGTGAGAGTGTGGAACAACATACTAGTGAAGGCAGGAGTGAACGCTTCAGAAAGTCTCTCTCTGTGTGTGTGTGTGTGTGTGTATAACAACCGTTTCTTCATAATTTCACAATTACACACATACAGTACACACACATACACACTCATGTGTGCACCAGTGCAGAGCCCAGTAGCAGCAGCAGCAGCCTCAGCATCAGCAGCAGCAGCAGCAGCATCAGTAGCATCAGCAGCAGCAGCAGCATCAGTAGCATCAGCAGCAGCAGCAGCATCAGTAGCATCAGCAGCAGCAGCAGCATCAGCAGCAGCAGCGCAGCAGCTCTGTCCTTTACGCTGCCGTCCTCTCTGCAGGCCGCCTCATTAAACTTTGAGCTGAACAGTTAAAAACTCTCTGGTCCCCACTGGCCACGGTATAAGAGGAGTAAATTAAATTAAATCCGTCCACTGGGTTTGAAGTCAGATGGAAGGATGACATTTGCCAAGTCAGTCTGCGGCAGAGCTCTGCGGCGTGGCCACAGGTGGCGCTCTGTGAGGCGTTTCTTCCCTCAGTCTGCGACGACCATTTGTAAATATTAACTTTCCTTTTTTTTTCTTTTTTTTTTCATGAACGTCTGCTTGTGTGTCTCTGCCTCTTGTCCACAGTCAACTCAGGCGATGGAATCGACTACAGCCAACAGAAGAGAGAGAACATCGGTGACCTGATCCAGGAGACTCTGGAGATGTTTGAACGATACGGAGGAGAGGACGCCTTCATATACATCAAGTACATGGTACCGACCTACGAGTCCTGCTTGATCACATGATCAGGGCTGTCACAGGGGCACGGAGAAACCACCGTCTGTGTCTTTGTGTCTGTGTTTTACTCACCCTCTCACCCCTTGGGAGAAACCACCGTCTGTGTCTTTGTATCTGTGTTTTACTCACCCTCTCACCCCTTTCACTCTCTGGCACAATTTAAATAAAGTATCGTCTGCCTGTCTGTCAGAGTACATTTATTGTGAAAGTACACGTTTTGTTTTTGAACTCTGCCACAGTTTGACCAATGACATTTCAGCGTTTCACCTTCAACAGCCTCCTATTGGACGGTTCAGCTGTCAGTCACATAAAGCGTCTACCCAAATGCACTGCCATAATTTCATGTTTTCATGTCAATTTGTTGCCTTTTTAGTTGTAAGCAGTGTTTAAGTATCTAAGTAAGTATTCAAGTATGTAGCTTCTATTCCCTCCCCTGCAGGAGGTGCTATATTCCCACAAGGCCAAGTAAAATACTGAGCTTCAAATCTATAAAAGAGCCTTCAAAAAAAAAAAAAAAAAAAACACAGACTAGTTTTAGTTTTGTCAACTTTTATTTGTTGTTGAAGACGGATCAGCGCTTATTTCTTCATGTACACTGGAGGAACCAATGAGAGCAAAGGCCAATCAGAGCTCTGTTTGTCTGCTAGGAGGCGGGACATCTGAACAGGAATCCAATCACAGCGACTGTGTGTCTGATATAAAGAAAGATATTTTTACCGCAGGACTGTAATCAGACCTTATCGTTATTGTGCGAGCTAACGTTGCTAAGCTACGACGTTAGGTTTGTCACCGTCTCTTGTCAACATTGTATTGCAGCAACAGTGTATGTGGCATGAAACGATATAATCAAATACTGAATTGTTTGTATTGTATATTATTTATAATAATGATGCTGATGATATTCAGTAAAATAGTTTCCAATTAGAATATCATAAAAACACAATGAAGACTTTGAAAAAAAATAGTAAAATAAATTTGACAAATATAAATATAACTAAACTAAAATCAAAACAGTTCCATCGACTAAATTGGGACTAAGTTAGAATTTGGTCAAAGGACTTTGACTAAGACTAAATCATAATTGACTGTCTTTAGTTTTTATTTCCAATTACTTGAAAAAAGAAAAAGTATAATTGTTTATTCTAACTTTGAGCAGATGACGTCCTTTTTTGTCACATTACTGCCATCTACTGGGTTGGTTTCATCCTAAAGTGTGAAGCTGGGGCTAATCACCATTTTCTGTACATGTCAAATCCCTGTGTACTCTGTGTACTCTGTGTACTCTGTGTAGTATTCCCACACAGAGTCTCAGATACGTGAAGCTCAATATTTCACTCACATTTCCGCATTGCTAATGCTTTGAAATACTGAAGCCGTAGCCCAGACGTTAGCTTAGAATCTCCATTGTTGACGGTGTTAAAGATGCGTGTTGTTCTCTGCTGCAGGGAGCAGCACACCTGGGCTGCTCAATTTATGTCCTCTGCTCCACGACAACATTTCAGGCAGAAAAATGTGGGCAGAGACTTCTCAAACCACTCCTGCAGCATTTTTTCTTTGTTGATTTACAGCCACCTTTAAGTCGGCAGAATGTGATGCTGCTCTGGAAACCAGGCCGAAAAGGACCGAAAAAAAAAGAGAGAGAGAGAGAGAGAGAGAGAAGTGAAATCTACCTTAGAAAGGTTTTATTTGAGAGGAGCCAACAGAGAAAATGAGGAGTGATGAAAGTCAGCAGCTTCGTCTTTGGCGTGTCACTCGTGATAGCCGTGTTAGCTTTGAGTGTGGTGCTGCACAACCAGAGCTTCTTTTCACTGCTGTGACCGTGGTTTGTACTGCATCGTAGCGTTGTACTCATTCTGTCACCGGCCCAGCTGGAAACAGAGCCTGTCTGAGCACGTTGAGAAAGACACGAAGGAATGATGAC